GTTTATTAGTTTAACCCTTTCCTACCTGTCTGACGACACTGATCCAATCACTCATATCAGTATCAGTATCAGCTGAGAACAGATAGGCTCTAGCGGCTGTGATCACTTCAAAGCAATGACCACGCCCATTGACTTCATCCTCACACTGGCAGACCCCCAGGATATCATTTACTCCAATATTACCCAATATTTCCGGGTCCTATGGGGGGGGGAGAATGTAAGGAATGAGAGCAGCTGGTGCAGAATGAGTAAAGAAATATGATACATTCTTTCACAAACACACGCCTAATGTCACTTTGACCATAAAAGATAATCACTATATTGAACAGATTAACACTGTCTACTCTCTCTCTCCCTCTCTCTCTCTCCCTCTCTCTCTCTCTCTCTCTCTCTCTCTCTCTCTCTCTCTCTCTCTCTCCCTCTCTCTCTCTCACTGTGTCTGTCTTGAAGTATTCCAGTCCCCTAAAGTTATCAATGGTGCAGTATCTTCTCTTCCAGCCGAGTCTCTCTGAACCAGTTTTATGTAGATACCCTCTTTTACTAATGGTCTGTATTGAAGACTAAAAGAAATAATATTAATAATTAATATTATCAAAGAATGTTTCTTACATCATTATTAATATCAACTAGCGCTCCATTTTGTTCCAACAGTTCAACTTGTAATGGCTGACTATTGGACCTTGCTATAGCAAGAGCTGAAGAGAAAAAAAACAACAATAATAATAATAATAATAATAATGAATGATGAATGATGGGCTATAGTACGCTCATCTTAAAAATGGCCATAACTAAAAAATTGAAGTCGGAATTGGCTCAAACTTTCTACACAGCATAAGGACATCAATATGTATTAGAAAATGTAATAAAAATTAGGGGTGATTTCGGGGCCATTTTTTGGAAAAAACCATGGGCTATAGTACAGGGATAGTATCATTAACTTACGTGTGTTTAGTTCAGGATCAGAACTATCTTTAACATTACAACAAGGCTGTAATAATAAATAAATAAATAAAATAAATAAATATTAATTTACGTTAGCTCCTTTAACAAGTAATTCTGTAGTTAACATCAGGTCATCATCAATCACTGCCGAACACAACGCCTACGCAAATAATCACGTGATACAGACCACACCTACTGCTCCACCCACCTTATCCAGCTCCTCCTGGTTGGCCAGTGCATTATCAGGTACCCAGGACTTACTCTCGTACTTTGAGCGAATGAAGGACTCGCGAATCTCTCTAGGACAATCAGTCGGTATCCTCTCACCTTTGAAGTGTCTCTCCCAAAACAAATTAGCAGAATAATTACCAATAGTGACCATCAACTGGATTATAAATAATAATAATAATAATAATAATAATAATAATAATAATAATAATAATAATATAATTCTTCTTACGTTAATGAGAGTGTCGGTCCATATCTCAGTGTCCAGTTCGACAGACCTAACTTTAGATATATGAACTCCCATTGCTCTGTGGACTCCTGAGCACTCAATACAGACCATGATACCTCTATTGACCACACCCCATGATGGGTCTAATAAGATTCATTAATATTATTATTAACATTAGGTTAATGATACCTTCATCACCACAGTCGGCACATTTCTTATTGGAAGGATTCTTCTGTATCCTTTCCAGTATATCCTATAAATAGATACAATATGGTATGGGGTAGTTATTAACAGTTATTAATATTCATCACTTACAGCTGCCCTCACTCCTTTCTTTCCCTCCTTCTGTTCAGGTGCCAGGTTCAGTCCAGTCAATATGGCATTGGACAGTTTCTCAATCCATTCCATCCTGTTGGCTTCATTGGACGCTTGGAAACTATTAAAATAATAATATTAATAATAATTAATAAACTAATAAATACATCCATTCATTACATGTATGATCTCTGGTTTGGCATTGTTATTGTAAATCGGCTCTTTCCACCAGCTTCAGGTTTAACCATCGCCAGTCTCATATCAAGGACATGGATTGGCTTCCCTTGAACAAAATCCTAACATTAACAACAACAATAATGTTAATTAATATTATTAATTGCAGGGGCGTACCTCTTTGCTGTCGTAATAAGCAAACTTAGCTCCTTTCAGTGCCACATATCTATTAAGAAACACATTTCACCAGTGTACCAGTGTACCACTGCCGGTATACCAGTGTATCAATTGACGTACCTTTGTCTAAACCCAGCGAACCTCCCGTGTCCTTGTTTCATGATGAATCCTTCTTTATCAGGTTCGTTCATGTTGCCTCCTACTTTACAAGACTGTTCATCTTGAGGCTAATCGAACAATTATCATATAATTAATTAATATTAATTAATTAATTAATTAATTACGTTATATTTGCTGATTGCAGCATGTAAGACACTGACCCAAAGTTGTGCCTCGTCTACAAATAAAATAAAAAAATAAACATTCCTCAATATATTGATAATGGCTACCAGTCCTTACCATCATTATCAGCATAGAACTGGAACACTCTGTTAATAACCACCAGATCAAACCTTGAGTTATGGTCGGGCTACAGGAGGGAAGAGGTATCATTATCATCCACACACTGTATATGGTATTAGACATACATCAGATACTCTCTTAATGTCGATCATCTCTGATAACTTCACATTATTACGAGCATCAGATTCCTAACAGAGAGAGAGAGAAGGAGGAGGCAGGGAAGGTTAATATGTACAATATATTGGATTGTGACTCTAACTTTCTCTCCTTTTGCTTTGAAATATTTCAAGTCTTCACCATCAAACACAACCCAGCGCCTTTGATAGGGTTTGTCATTCCTCTTACTAACAATAAACAACAACAAACAACAATAAACAGCAACAAACAACAATGGCTTACCCTCCTTTCTTAAACAAGTATCCTTCTTTAGTAGGTGGGACCTGCCAATAATAAACAAATTAAAATACACAAATACTGGCAGACACAAATAATGAAATTATACACATACTATAGTAAATTCAAATGAGCAGGTGCTGCTACTATTACTACTGGCCTGTGTCATGATAGTGTTGTGTCCTTTATTAAAGACACAACTTTACAATAATCACATAAATAGAATCAACAAGAACATTGACCCATCTCTCTCTCTCTCTCTCTCTTTTCACACAGCTGCTGTGGAACAATAAATAAAAAGAGGTGACAAGTACTCATATAATAAACAAAGAATACAATCTCATTCAGTTGTACACAAACACCACACACTCCAATGAATGCTGGAATGTAAGTGTAGGTACACACACACACTCACTCAGTGAGTGACTGATATATCATGAGGGCATGTACTGAGTATGTGTTTATGAGTGAGCCCATTTGTAGCTATGAATACAGTAAACAGTATCAAGGCAATGATTTGAATTCCAGCTGCTTATAGAGGAGAGGAGACGGTGAGCCTCATATTGATCATCAGTTGTTGTGTTAGAATTGGCCAGAGAAGAGCTAACCAGTTAATTATTAATTACTCACAAGACGTGTTTTCAAACAACGACTGACACTGACCACAGAAACATGTTCATGTCATGTTATAGTACGACCCACGATAGCCTCATCACTAGAAAGGGTATTTAAACAGCTGACTGGCTACATTGTAGCATGATTCCAGTCCAAGGGAGTATATTTTGAAAAAAATTTTGGAAGGAACTTAAAGTTACTGTACCAGCTAATCCAATAGCATATCAATAATAATACAATTAAGAAGAGTGCCATAATTAGTAGACTATTAGTAACGGAGTTAGCACAATTTGGTAACAAATGATAATATAATGAGAATCATAAGATGTACATGTACTTGTAATTAATAATAATTATTGATGTACTAAAATGGAAAACCCCTCCATCCTCTAATGCACATATTTCAAATATTTGGGACATTTTTGGAATATTTCAAAGGAAGGGTTGATAGGGTATTACATAAGAGACACAAAATAATAATAACAACAAGTACTAGTATGCTAACTATAGAGCTGTTATTGTGTGAATAAAGAGTTAAAAATAATAAACAAAATAATTTTAATAGGACAAGTTAATAAGAGCTTGTTTTACTGTTGATGGAACAAAAAACAATAAGAAATGACAATAACAACAACACAAGATACTGACACACTCCAGCAGTTGTAATGGAGTTCAGTTGTATTTTATCATAAATATTGGACAACACTTCAATAGTACCAAAATTACAATGTTCCAGCAATACTGTAGTACTAGTAAGAATGAGCAAGTATAAGATATAACGATTAAAAGAATAGGATACAGTACAGAGCAAGGTCATGAGGTATACAAGTACACGTACATGAGCTATCACAAAGGAAGAGAGAGTACACAGGGTAAGTGTAGACAATATTAGATCATCAGAAACCATTTAACTAATAATTATAATGAAGCACAACACAGTATCCCATGATGATATCAGGAGACACATCCTCTTATCACTGCCAACAGAGAGAGATAAGGAGAGAGAGAGAGAGAGAGAGAGAGAGAGAGGGAGAGGGGGGGGGAGAAAGAAGAGGTACATGTACTGTCACATATCAAACTGCAAGGTCTCTACATGTACCCGATTATGATCCAAAGGCTGTGTAGTGCTGATACAAGTGTAAGGCTTTTGCTATGGCAACATGTAATCTGAGCTCACCAGCAGCTGCTAGTAATATACTGTATTAGCGGATTTAGTGAAAATTAATGTTTGATGTACAAGTATTTAGCAAGTTTTAATTAATATCCTGTCCTTACTAATGGAGGAGAATGTGTACAGTAAGACACTAAACAAGTGGAGGGAAAGAGACAGAGAGTAGACACATAATTAAAATAATGGAGACACAATAGTTCCAATGGACAGACATAAACTTAAAAATTTAAAAATAAAAAGACCAACAAAGACACTGTACAGTGTATTTATATCAGAGGGTATTACATTAACAAGTACTACAACCTCCATATTAGCATACATTAGATACTGTATTTATATTAGTATACATTAGATAAGAGGTACTACTCACACATTGGGACGGCTCTATCGCTAAATTAAAAACAGACACCGAAGCAGGTGAAGATCCTTTTAATGGAGAAGGACTGGAATTAAGAGAAGGAGGACAGCTGAGGTTAGTCATGCTGAAAGCAGGAGTCATTTTAACCGCCAAATTACAATCACTCAAACCGTTGGGTTTCTTCCGAGTAATGATCGGAGAGATACCTCCATAATCAACAGTGTCATGACGATCGGACTTTAACCGCCTAGGGGGAGAGGC